CGATCATCTCCGGCGAGGACAAGGCACTTCAAGAGCTAAAAGAGAAGCGACCATGAGCACCATGTCATTGAAGGTGGTTATCAGACCAAAGATGGAACCTGGGCATCCTTGTCCGAGTATGCCGGTGGCTACCCGAAGGGCTTGTGCACGGCTTTGCTGAAGGGAGCTGAGTCTTGGCTCACCGCGAAGTCCAATGAAGCCTTTACGGAGGACTATGAGATAGATGACAACGTCCCGGACTTCATCACTGGTGAAGATTTTGTAGAAGAGGAGAAGAGCCAGCAGGAAGCGCAGTTGGATGACACATTGCGCTTCGATGGACAAGAGCCGCAAGGCCCTGAGGATGACGAACGCCACCCTGTGAGTTCAGAGACTCGCAAAGCCGTTGAATTTGCTCACCGGCAACTGGGGCATCCGACTCGAGCTGCTTTGGTCAGGATGCTGAAGTTGGGTGGGGCGAGCCAGGATGCACTGAGGTATGCAAGTCGTTTTCATTGCTCTGTTTGTGCTGCTCGCAAGCCGCCAAGTCATCCGAAGCCATCAACGGCAACGACAAGACCATTTGGATTCAATGTCCATTTGCACATCGACCTCAAGTACCTCTATGACAGTCGGAAAAAGAAGTATGTGTGCTTGAGCATCCTGGATTTGGGCACTGTCAAACATGATGCAGTGATGCTCAAGAACCGCCGCTCGGACTACATTGCAGGAAAATTCCTGAGGCACTGGGTCGCTTTGTACGGATGCCCGTCATTGATCACTCATGACCAAGGCGGAGAATTCGAGCAATCTTTCCATGCCATGATGGAGGATCTCGCAATTCCATCCCGAGTGACGGGCTCACATGCGGCATGGCAGTTAGGTGCTGGAGAGAGGCACGGTGCAACGTTGGGAGTGATGTTTCAAGCCATCGTGGACGAGCATGGCATCACAGGCTATGAAGATATGAAGAGGGCGTTGGCATGCGCAGTGATGGCCAAGAATGCACGATCACGAAAGATGGCTACACTCCAAACCAGAGAGTTTTTGGAGTAGAACATCGCTGGCCGAGCCTCACTTCTGAGGACGTTGGCTTGAGCTTTGTACAAGGTCTGACAACAGACAGTGAAGTGGCACGGGCACATAAGATGAGGACAACGGCTCGCGTGGCTCTCATCAGACAAGATGTCAGAGACAAACTACGAAGGACCCTGCTTCGCAAGCCGCCTACATCACCCGGACCTTTCGTGCCAGGAGCTCGAATCTATTTCTGGGTTCCGCAGTTCAAACGCTACACCAGCGGCCGGGGACAATGGAGGGGTCCAGCTACTGTGCTTGTCCCTGAGCAGCAGAAACGCTACTTCGTGAGTTGGCGTGGCAGGCTCCTGCTGTTAGCTCAGGAGAATATGAGACTCGCCACTCCAGAAGAGCTCGCATTGTCCGAGCCGGTCAAGGAGGACGTCCTGGACATTCAAGAGTTATTGAGAGATCCGACTCGCTCGAACATCTACCAGGACCTTCGTGCTAAGCCACCTCCTCCAAGGCCAAGGAAGAAACGGCAACCGAGACCTCCAGAGGATCCTCAAAGGTTGCGTGCCAAGAACATCTTGCGAGGCACAAAGGCCGTTCGACGACTTCTCATGCAGCGGCCGGGAGCTTCTCAAATTCCATTGCGCAGGAAGCGCAAAGAGTTGAATCCACCTGTCCAACAAGGACTACCAGATTCAGGAGCTCCTCCCTTGGCAGAAGCTGTGGCAGCGCCACCTGAACCAGCACAGCGTGCTACACGGCGTAGGCTCGCCTTAGAGGATGCTTCCTCACCTGTGGCAGCGCCACCACCATCATTGCCCTTGGCCGAGCCAGGACCTTCCGAAGCGGCGCCTCCATCTTCAGGAGGAGTCCCGCAGTCAGGAGAAAATGTGCCGATTCCAACGGAATCCGAGAGTTCAAGCACTTCCGAAGAACAGTCGCCACCAAGATCTCAGCCATCGAGGCCTGCAGCTGTGGCACCAGGATGGGAGAACATGCCACCAGCGGAAAGGAGGCAACGTCTGACGGATGATGTGCCTTATAGCATTAAGAGGAAGTTGCAGTCACCAACCACATCAGAGCTGCCGCTCAAGAGATCACGACCAAGTACTGCCCTCTTTATGCAAGTGTTGGCATCGACGGTGTCACCAGGTCCACGGAACGAATGGCTCACTCGGTATGAAGTTGAATTGCTACGGCAACTCACAGGCCTTCCCATTTCATCAGCTCGTCTGCATCGGCGCCCGAGAAAGAAGTTCATGAAGCCACCACGGAAGCGGGCACGGGTGACCATTCTGATGGGAAAGGAGCCAGATAATGTGTTCATCGTGGAGGAAAGCCCAGAAGAGACTTCACAACATCCACGACGAAGAGCCCCATTCGCCTGGAGGGGAATGACGTTCTTTTTGAAGGAGTCTCCATCACCGACGGCAGAACACAACACCTATGTCCAACTGCCGGATGGCATCTATGAGGCCAAGTTGAGCTCAGAAGAGCGCCGTATCTTTGAGCATCTTTGGATGGAGGACCTGCATGACCATTTGCTGGCAGAGGTCATGTTGCTGAAGCTCAAACAGAACGGCAAGGAACTCGACCCGAAATATTTCGACGACAAAGAGAGGAAAGAGTTCCGTGATTCCGATGCAAAAGAATGGCAGCAATGGGTTCGCAACCATGTGGTGAAGCGACTGTCCAAGGACGAGGAAGCCAAGATCCCTCGCCATTTGATCTTCAAGGCACCCTTGAGGATGGTGCGAGTCAACAAGCAGACCAAGGCACTGGCACCCCTGATCGCGAAGTCTCGCTTGGTGGTCCCAGGACACAGAGACCCAGGCCTTGGCTACTTCCGGAGCGACAGTCCCACGGCTACCTTGCAGGCTGTGAGGATATCCAAAGCCATTGCGGTTCGCAACGGCTGGAAGGGCTGGTCATTTGATGTGACAACAGCCTTCTTGTCTGGAGAGAACTTGCAGCGCAACGTATACGTACGTGCTCCAGAAGAAGGGCTGCCAGCAGTTGATGATGAGCCGGCTGTTCGAGGAGGAGAGCTCATGCAAATCCTTCGCTCAGCCTACGGCTTGGTTGAGAGCCCACGACTCTGGTATTTGCGGGCCAGCAAACTGTTGACATCCACACCTCTCCAAGAACTGCCCATCAGCAAGAGCAGCTTTGTAGCGTCAGAAGACAGCCAAGCATGGGCGGTGCTCAATTTGCATGTTGATGATGGCCTCCTATTTGGTTCAGAGGAGGACGGCAGGTTTCAAAAGTTGAAGAAAGACATTAACGCCATGTTCACCATCAAGGAGTGGAAGACGATTCCACTGACTTTCTTGGGCGTGGATCTCAAGGAGTGCAAAGGTGAGCTCTACGACGACATGTCAAACTATATCAACAAGATATCCCTGCCAGACTTGAAGCCAGAGGCCAAGAAAGAGACACCGCTGAATCCACAGCAGCTGACGGCATACCGACAACTGGTGATGCGCTTGAGGTGGCCGGGACAACAATCCATGCCGCAACTCCTGTACAAGGTCAGCAAACTGGCACAGCGTGCCACCAAAGCGACAATGGGGGATTATCAGGAAGCCCTGCGTCTCTACGAGGAAGTCAAGCAGGAAGCCCAGGAGGGCCGGGCAATTTTGCCCTATCCCCGCATCGGTGGCAAACTCTATGTGGTCACATTCTTCGATGCTTCGTTGGGCCGTGAAAAGGACGGAAAGTCCCAGCTTGGGGCGGTGCACTTCTTGACCAATGAGAAGGTCGCCCACGGTCCACAGCCGGCTGCAGTCATGGACTACACAAGCAGCAAGAGCAGCCGTGTTGTCAGAAGCTCAATGGCTGCGGAATCCTGCTCGTTGAGCTTGGCAGTTGATAGGCACCTCTATGTCCGCCTCATCGTGGACATGATGGTCCATGGAGTCTTTGAGGTTGGAGCTGAATGGCGTGCACGACTCAGGATCGGTGGCGGCATCGTGACGGATGCCAAATCGCTATACGATCATATGTGCACGACCGGGCAGGTACCTTCGGAGCGTCAGACGATGCTGGACCTCTTGGTCGCAAAGGACCTGCTAGAGCAGGAGGTGTTCAAGCTGTATTGGGTCCCCACGCATAGGCAGCATGCTGACGGCCTGACCAAGGCCATGCGCAATTTGCTGTGGGAAGAGTATCTCAAGAAGAAGACCATCAGCTTGAAGGAGACAGCCGAAGAGAAGGCCATTGAAGACAAGCGGAAGGAGCTTCGGAAGGGGCAGAGAGAGCGCCGCAAGGCACGCTCCAAACTGATGGTGGCACCATCAGCCCTGGCTGAGCCAGTGGGCCGTGGCAGCGCCACCCCGAATTCGCTATATCAACACACCAACACCTTTCTCTCCCAATGTGGAGATTGACAGAGGGTGGTGCGCTGTGGTGTGTTGTGTGCATGTTGCTGCAATCCGCAGCTTGATCAAGCCGCTTGCAGGCAAAAGCTTTGCGTTCGGCGGCGCCGTTTCTTTCGTTGAGCCCAATTCACTCCGCAGTTTTTTCATGTCTCTTAGTTGGGCGTTTGCCAAACCTTCGTGCCATCTCCTTCATGCCATGGCTAGCTTGGGATATGACCTGGAATCAAAGACAAAGCACCCGTGCTCTTCCAATACCAAACACACACACACAAGCACAGAGACAGACACACATTGACAGTCCAGCCAAAAGTCTATAGTCTGTATAATTAAAGATAAAGAGGTCGAAAGTAGCTTATGATGTTGTTTTCTTCAGTTAGATGATGTAGCAGGCCCCAAGCTAAACAGCAGCTGAAAACGGTGCAGCGCTAGTGACAAATCTCACAATTTGGTGCCAACACTTGTTTGGTCCATGTTTCCTTCAGAAACCAGTTGTGTGTGCCCAAAGTAAAGACTTCTGTAGCGGGATGTAGTGGGCCCCCATGAAAAGAAACAATAACACGGCGGAACGAGCCATTTTGGGGGGCCAGAAGACCTTCCGACCAGATCCATCAGGCGTGCCAGACACCTGAACGTCGGTGGACTGCCGCCCGACTGCCGTGGCTGCCCGCGGACTGCTGCGGTCACGCCCGGTCGAGGAGGTGATGAACCGCCTCATGGGCGTTGGCCACGCCTTGGCGTGACCGAGGCATGACCGAGGCAGGGGCGAAGCTTTTGAAAGAAGGGATCCACTGGGTTGAGAGATGCAGGCAAAAGCCCCTGGGTTGGGCTGAAGGTTGTTTTTTTATTTATGTTATTGATTCTTTTCTATTTGTAAGTCAGTGTTTCCTGTTTTCTATGTACAGGGCTCAGGTTGAAGACCATTTCTGTGACAAAGACCGCATCCAGGAATGTGCAAACGAGGATCGCATCCCAGGCACATCCTTCCTTTCCGAAAGACGGAGAAGATGTGGAACATGCCAAGATTAATTTTGCTTCGCCAGTGCTTTACCTCCAAACTCTTGGTGTTTCACCAGTATCTGCCACGCACAGGAAGGTGGAGCTTTGAATGGTGAAGCGAAGGGTTGAGCCACAAGTGCTGATCCGCGGGAGGGCATGTCTCAACAGAAACGCGTGCGCGCACCTAATGGATCCGAATATATGGGCACGCATAGATAGGGGAGACCCCTTCAAAGACTCCCTGGCCGGAAGACTACAGAGCAAAATCCATTGGTTGGGGGTCTCTCTATTTCCACGTGAGGAGGTACCCCAGTGGTACAGTGGTGCACGGTCAGGAGATCCAGTGAGATCCCATTCTTCTTGAGACATGCCCATACCCATACGTTGTACATAGTTTTTTTTTCATGCTTTTTGGAGGGTCTCTGTTCCAAACAGAAGGACACCATCATTGTGAGCGGTGCCTCCAGGGCTTGTCTTTGAGCGTGGTTCAGCTGTTTGGAACAGGTCATGGCAAGCAGTTAGACCGTAGACACTGCAAACTCTGCAAACAGTTAGAATATCTGGTCAACGCGATCTTCAGGATGATTTGCTGAACAGTCTTGGTTCCAAGAAACACTGCAAACTGGTTCGGGAAGATTTTCCTTGTTTGGGTTCCATGCTGGTGAGCTTTTGCTGGGGGCTTTGGCGATCGTGAGATCCCAACCGGGCGCCCTGGGCGCCCCGGGCGTTTGGAGAACCGCTGAGGGCCATCGTGAGCAAATGATCTTCCATGCAGCCGAAGAACGGCCGCGCTTGGAAATTCTGGGACAAAGGAGAGGGATATGCGGAGCCTTCATTGGGTGAGAATCACGACTGAAAGGATACGGAGTGCCAGACAGAAGTCATTGCTTTATTTTATTGTATTTCTTTCGAACAGACGGTACAATCGCTGCAGCACATTCCAGTCTTCCACATCGACACCTCTCCCTTTGGCATCGCCAGGCCTGGTGTAGAGCCCAAGGCTGAGGTGGAAAGATGACTCCTTCATTGGCAATTGGAACACCGATTTCTACCCTTCATATCCCTTCATACCTTTAAAGGTTCAGAGACCGACATCCTTTTAGTGCTGATCCTTTTTGGGGATGAATTTCAAACCTCATGCCCATGGGCCCCCGTTTCACTCAGACTCTTCTTCTTCGTGGTTTCTAGGTTCAACGAGGGGTTCGTCGGCAGCGAGTCACCTTTTTGTGGGAAGACATGGGTGGCAAACAATCAGATGAATGACCAGCGCTTTCTGCGATTCCTCTTTTGGCCTCAGCCTGTGCAATGCCTAGCGTGGTGTTTGTGCCATGAGCGGCGGGAGGGTCGGCCTGCCATGCATCGCCCTCAGTGCCTCCTCGCCGAAAACACCCGAGAAAATACGGTCGGTGAACTACCAAACTACATGATGTTTGGCAGATTTCATAATTTTTTGTGACTTCATGCATATAAATGTGGGGAGTGCACCCAGGCTCTCCGGACACCTTTTCAAGAGGTTTTCTGGGACCTCCAACTGTCCGACTGCGACGGTCTGGTGGTATTGGAGCGCCCAGGCTTCGCCTGAATGCGCAGGCGCGGGCGGGCCGTCTTTTTGGGGGCAGGCGTGGGGGTGGAACCAAACGCATCAAAAAGTCAGCTGGTCAGAGAGTATGACTCTTAGTAAGTCTTAGTAGATGCGGAATCTGGATGAAGACTCCGACATCTTTTTTCAGATATCGACAGGGCTTCTTCTGTCGTTCACGATTCAATGACAGGATCCATTCGAGAGGACCGGTCAAGTTCGAAAGGAAAGGTGGCTCGCTTTGCCACCGTGGATTTGTGGATGAGAAGGAAAGATGAGAGCGACATGTGACCAATGTAACCTTTCCAATCAAAGAGAGACAGGACACCCATGATTTGCCCATCAAATCTAGCGGGCTATTCAGTGATGGGCCAATCCAACACATCCGCTGGTCTTCACACATTTGTCCCCAAGTCGCTCTACACTATGACTCACTAACATGGAAAATGGATGAGATTTTTTTTTTTGGAAGACTACTATCCTTTACGAACAGGGTGTGAACTCCACTTCCATGTGATGTGTTCGTCCGAGGGTATATAAGGACTTTTTTCCATGGTTTGGTCGGGCCAAGGCTGTCCTCGCACATCCACTGGGCCCACGAAATTCACTCCGCCATGGTGAATCCCTTGAACAGCGAGTCTTTGGGACCGAGAAATCATCGAGTCCGCCCCCTCGAACAGCATCCGGAGACCTCCAGTTCCTCCAAGAGATCTATCGTCTCAGCAGTTTCGGTTTACATTCTGCATGAGATGGACGACATGGGACGTGAACAAGCCACTTTTGATAGGAACCATGGTATCGCAAGGGGCTATGGCACCGGCTTTCATGTGAGTCAAAGTCTACTGCCCAGGATTCCAACCACGTATTGATTGAATGGCCTTTGCCGACCAACCATTGTTTTACTGAGCACTTTTTATGCTACAACACTCAGGTCAACCAAATTAAAAAAGAGGTCTTCGAAGGCTAGGGTACTTTCTTCTCGAACATGAATCCTTTCGAAAACCCACTCGGCCCTTTCCCGAACATGCCCCGCTCTCGCTCTCGCGATGTGTCTCGCTCTCCAACCTCCCTCCCGGCAGGGAGCGTCCCGGTGACAGATGTGACAGTGTGTTTGCCCAGTGGTCGATCCGTGAGTCTGTCGGCAGCCAGCTACATCTGGGAGCTCAAAGAGGCTGCAAGAAAAGCTTTCGGACTCGAAGCTTTGCAACTCTTCTTGGATGGGCAGTTGTTAGATGTAGCATGGTCCCTGGAAGATGCAGGCCTTCGGACTGGAGACACCTTGACGGCAGCGGTGGTGCAAGCGCCGACCGTGGCGGCCACGCATGCGGCGTTTGCTCTGTCGCATCGTGGGAGTGGCGTGATCAGCTGGGGTGATCCAGCGTGTGGAGCCGACAGCAGCGGAGTCCAACAACAACTGACGAATGTGAAAGACATCCAGGCCTCGCAGTATGCTTTTGGAGCAATCTTGTTCGATGGCTCCGTTGTGACCTGGGGGGATCCAGAGTGCGGGGGTGACAGCAGCAGTGTGCAAGCGAAGCTGCGAGATGTGGTGAAGATGCAGGCTTCACGGGGCCAGCTCGGATCCTCCACCTCCACGTGGTGGCCCTGGGCCCTTCTTGACGAGGAAGGGTGCGAAGTTTAGAGGATCCACACTCCTGGGGGAGTGACAAATGAGGGCGCCTGGCTATGGTCGTGCGCTTGGTGCCGGATGGGTTTGTTGCGACCTTGTGGGGCTGACGAGTCCGTGGTTTCTGCTGCTTTGTCTCTTCCTTTTCGGTCTTTGACTATGGGATCTTCTTTGGAAGTTTTGGGCTTTTCACCGTGAATTCGCACGTACTTTGTTACGTGGAGCTGGACTGGTTGGATCGTGAGGATCCCGCTGCCTTTGCATACGTTTCACGTCATGGACATTTTGTTCGTGGATGGCTTCTCCACTGACTTGAACTTCGGCACGTCTGTCGACCTGCATGGTGCTTTGCCGTCTTGGCCGCGGCTTGGCTTCGGCAAGTGATCCGGGTCGGGTGTTCTGTGGTCTCTCCACCGATCACCGCCAGGCAGTTCTGTGGTAGTCTTGCCTGACTTTGTGTTGGGTCCACCTTATCCTTCGCGGCCCATTGACTACGTGGGTCAGCATACCTTACGCTTTGCCTTTCTGGCATCGGCGTGTCGATGTTGCACGACTTTGTGTGCTGATAGCAATTCAAGGGCTACAGCACCTACAACTCCATATATATAGATGCAGGCTTCACAACAAGCCTTTGCGGCCATTTTGGCTGATGGAAGGATTGTTACCTGGGGTGAATCTGGCTTTGGAGGTGACAGCAGTCCGGTGCAAGAAGAGCTGAAGAACGTGCAAGACATCCAGGCCCCGCTTTGCAGGATTGCCCCTTCTGTCAGGGTAGACTCAGACCGTCTTGGATCCACTTGGTGTGGCATTGTGAGCATTTTCGCGACTGTAGGCCGTCTAGGCCCCGTAACCCCCTCACCGCTAGGTTTGGTTGGGCCTCTGGCCCGGCAGATTCGGCTGTCATGGATCATCTCACTAAGGTGCAGGAAGCCGTGTGGCGTCTTCGCCACGGGGAGGAGCGTTGATGCGCAGCTAAGGACTTTGCGTGCTGATAGCAACTCAAGGGCTACAGCACCTACAACTCCATATATATACATCCAGGCTTCGCAATATGCCTTTGCAGCAATTTTGGGGGATGGAGCTGTGGTTACTTGGGGTGATCCCAGATTTGGAGGGAACAGCAGTGAGGTCAAGTGTCAGCTGAAGAATGTTCAAAGGATCAGTGCTTCCTACTATGCCTTCGCTGCCATTTTAGCTGATGGATCTGTTGTCACCTGGGGTGATGCCCAGTGCGGAGGTGACAGCCGCCGGGTGCAACAGCAGCTCAAAAACGTGCAACAGATTCATTCGACGCAGTACGCTTTTGCGGCGATCCTGATGGACGGACATGTGGTCACATGGGGCCAGCCCGATGCTGGGGGTAGCAGCCACAGAGTCCAAGGGATGCTGAAGAAGGTGCAAGGGGGGGTCGCTCAGAAGGGTCAGTTGGCCAAACACCAATGGGTTCGACCCGTCCTTCGCGGCGCTGGAGATCCTTTGGCTGGTGAGTCTTTACGGCGGGCCAGGCGTCGCCTGGCGAGACTTCATGAGCTTCGGCAGTTTATTTGCCGTAGGGGGTATGTTCCACTTACTTTGTTTCACAAGCTTTGGAAAGGGTCGGCAGTTCCGACCTCTGCCCAGGACATTCTTGCGATGGCTCAGACCGAAATTTCGGAGCTTCAAAGGTTGCAGTCTAGGATGGAAGCCCAGCTGCGTGACCGTCGCTTGCGTGAATGGAAGGCTTCTCTGTCTGAGGGTACCTTTGGCGCCTTAGGCAAATGGATTAAGGGCAAACAAATGGTCTGTCGCAAGGTCACGCTCGTTCAGCAGGGTGTTGAAGCTGAAACGCATGAGCAGTCGGCGCGATTCATCCGCGAACATTGGGAGAGTGTTTGGAGCGAGGGTAGGCTTGCGAATCCTGTGCTTAGTCGTCAGCTGGCTTCTGACTTTGGGTGCCGCCCTGCGGGTCATTGGGTTGGTCCGTCGGCCTCTGATCTT